TTATGCAAAAGAGAAATTGGCCCAAAAAATGATGTTTAAAGATGAACAAGGAAGATACCTGGCAACTGAAATACAAATACAAGGAGGAAAAATTTGTTAATAGTCGGAATTTATGCACCAAATGAGGGAAGGCGGAAATTTTTTAAGGAAGCTGCATGAAACTCTGATGGACTATTTTGGACTACAATGTAGTTAAATCATGGGAGATATGAATGGTGTGGTTTCTACAAATTATGGACAAGGCCACAAGACAGACAATCTCTAAGGAAGGGAGACTTCGAAGACCTTCTTTGAAAATGACTGAAAATATGGACTTGATAGATATTTGGAGAACAAGACCCTCTCGAAGAGAGGGAACTTTCTTCTCTCAAGCAATGATTGACCTGGATCCAGAATCGACCAAATCTGGATACTAGTGGGCTGGCTCCAAAGATCAAGAAGATAGAAAATCTGCCCAAAGACTTGCTCTGACCATAACGCCGTGAAGATGGAAATGAAACTTACAATAACTGGTCAATTCAGATGGAGAATGAATGACACCCTGTTTCGAGATGAGGAGATCCACAGAAAGGCCCAAAAAACCTTAAAGGACTATTTTGAAATAAACCTAAAAACTGATGTAGAAAAAAGAGTGATCTGGGACGCAAGTAAAGCTGTGATGCGAGGATTCCTAATTCAACAAAATTCGGTAAAAAAGAGAAAGCAAAATGAGAAGAAGGAAAAGATCTTGGAAAAGATAAAAGAAGGAGAGAAGAAATTGAGATCAAAACCAAAGTCCCAGGAGATTTTGAGAGAGATTAAGCTATATCAGACACAATATATGGAATTGATGAATCAAGAGATTGAGTGGAAGATAAAGCAAATGAGACAAAAGACATTTGAATCTGCGGATAAATGTGGCAAACTTCTGGCTTGGCAATTGAAGAAAAGACAGAAACTAAATACAGTTACAAATCTAGAAGTGGATGGAAAGAATATAACTAAACCCAACGAGATTAGAAACTGTTTCTTGAGCTATTTTAAAAAATTATATTCACAAGGACCGCAGAACGAAGAGGATATAGATGAATTCCTTAAAAAATATGGATTACAAAAAATCTCTTATCAAAGTAAGGTGGATCTAAATCAGAGAATAACAGAACAAGAGATAGAAGGTGCCATTCAGAACATGCAATTGGGCAAATCTCCAGGACCAGATGGACTGACTTCCAGATACTATAAAGCTTTGAAGGAGTGGTTGGTACAACCGTTAAAGGAAGTCTGCAACGAGATTTTGGAGGGGAAAGGGGCGCCAGAATCGTGGAAAGAAGCTTATATTACACTCATACCAAAGACAGAGACTGAAAAGACTCAGCTTAAGAACTACCACCCAATATCATTACTCAATGTGGATTACAAAATTTTTGCAGACATTTTGGCAAAAAGATTGAAAAGAGTGTTGATGGAGAAGATTCACAAGGACCAAGCAGGCTTTCTCCCAAAAAGGCATTTATCAGATAATGTGAGGAACATAATAGACATTTTGGAACTATTGGAGGTGAATATAAACACTAAAGCAGTACTGATATTTGTGGACGCGGAGAAAGCCTTTGACAATATTTCTTGGAGTTTTATGAAAAAGAATCTTCATGGGATGGGGGTAGGCCAAGGATTCGAGAATGGTATGGGTGCGATATATTCTGAACAAAAAGCTAAGTTGATTGTAAATAATGTGATAACTGAAGAACTTAAGATAGAAAAAGGGACACGACAGGGGTGCCCAATTTCACCACTACTTTTTATCTCGGTTCTGGAGGTGTTGCTAAATATGATTAGAGATGACCAGCAGGTTAAAGGTGTACAGGTCGGAGCAAAACATTACAAGTTAAGAGCTTTTGCAGATGATTTGGTACTTACTTTACAAGAGCCAGATACTAGTACAAAAAGGGTGTTGGAGATAATTCAAGAATTTGGTCAGGTGGCCGGATTTAAATTGAATAAACAAAAGACTAAAGTTTTGGGGAAAAATTTGACAGGTATGGAGAGGGAGAAATTCCAGAATGAAACAGGTTTGACAGTGGTTAAGAAGGTGAAATACCTAGGGGTTCATCTGACATCTAAAAACTTGAACTTGTATAAAGACAATTATGAAAAATGTTGGTCAGAAATCAAAAAAGATCTAGAAATATGGTCAAATTTGAAATTGTCAATGTTAGGCCGAATTGCAGTTATCAAGATGAATGTACTGCCTAGAATGTTATTTTTGTTTCAAACCTTGCAGATTCTTGACAAGATGGACTGTTTCAAGAGGTGGCAGAAAGACATTTCGAAATTTGTCTGGCAGGGCAAAAAGCCCAGAATAAAATTTAAAATAGTGACAGATGTAAAAGAAAGAGGGGGATTTGCCCTGCCGGACTTAAAATTGTACTACGAAGCAGCAGCGTTTTGCTGGCTGAAAGAGTGGATGCTCCTCAAGAATACAGATATCTTGGATTTAGAAGGTTTCAATAACACATTTGGTTGGCATGCATACTTATGGTATGATAAAATTAAAGTGCATAGGGCTTTCAAAAACCATATTGTTAGAAAAGCATTATATAATGTTTGGATAAGATACAAAGACTTTTTGGAAAACAAAACCCCTAGATGGTTGTCACCCTTGGAGGCTAAGGCATTGTAAAAACTCAATATGGAGGCCGAATGGCCAAAGTATTGGGAAATTTTGGAACAAGATGGAGATAAATTGAAGTTACAGAGTCATGAGAAATTGAAACCCAAAGTACGAGATTGGCTCCGTTATTATCAAATAATGGAGGTTTACAAACAGGACAGGAAAATTGGCTTCCAGGTGGAGAAATCAAAATTAGAAAGTGAACTGTTAAAACCCAATACTAAGAACTTGTCAAGAATGTATAATTTGCTGCTGAAATGGAATACACAAGACGAAACAGTTAAATCAGCTATGATTAAGTGGGCACAGGACATTGGTCATAACATTAAGTTTGCTGACTGGGAATGGTTGTGGAACACCGGGATAAAATTCACAGCATGCAATGCTTTAAAGGAAAATATTATGAAAATGATCTATAGGTGGTACACGACCCCAGTCAAGCTAGCAAAGATTTACCATTTGCCTGATAACAAGTGCTGGAAATGTAAAGAATCTGAAGGTACTTTCTACCACCTTTGGTGGACGTGCCCAAAGATTAAGGCCTTCTGGGAGATGATATATAATGAAATGAAAAAAGTACTTAAATGTACCTTCCCTAAGAAACCAGAGGCCTTTCTCTTGGGCATTGTCGGCCAATTGGTGCTAAAGAAAGATAGAACTTTCTTTATGTGTACGGCAGCAGCAAGAATACTTATCGCAAAGTATTGGAAGACACAAGATCTACCCACCTTGGAAGAATGGCAGATGAAAGTGATGGACTATATGACACTGGCTGAGATGACTGGCAGAATCCGTGATCAGAGGAAAGAGACGGCGGAAGAGGATTGGAAGAAATTCAAAGTTTATCTTAAGAACTATTATAAAATTGATGAATGCTAAAATGTCGAGGTGTTGAGAAAGAAAAGGGATTACAGTGACATAAGATTAAGTTGAAGAAAAGACTAAGAGGACACATATTTGATAAAATTACTTAGAAGCTGCTGAAATAATTTTGGAAATTGGGATGCAGAAAGGGGAGGTATGGGGGAGTCCGAGAAATGAGGGTTATGAAAAAAGGTTATGAAATTATACATGTTTGTTTGTCTTTTTATTTGTTTGTATTGTTTAAAAAATGTTGTAAAACCAATAATTTTTATTTTTTTATTTTTTTAAAAGCAGAGACATCACCTTACCAACAAAGGTCCGTATAGTTAAAGCCACGGTCTTCCCAGTAGTGATGTATGGAAGTGAGAGCCGGACCATAAAGAAGGCTGATCGCCAAAGAATTGATGCTTTTGAATTATGGTGCTAGAGGAGACTCTTGAGAGTCCCATGGACTGCAAGAAGATCAAACGCATCCATTCTTAAGGAAATCAGCCCAGAGTGCTCACTGGAAAGACAGATCATGAAGTTGAGGCTCCAATCCTTTGGCCACCTCATGAGAAGAGAAGACTCCCTGGAAAAGACCCTGTTGTTGGGAAAGATGGAGGGTACAAGGAGAAGGGGACGACAGAGAATAAGATGGTTGGACAGTGTTCTCGAAGCTACAAACATGAGTCTGACCAAACTGTGGGAGGCAGTGGAAGACAGGAGTGCCTGGCGTGCTCTGGTACATGGGGTCACGAAGAGTCGGACACGACTAAACGACTAAACAACAACAACAATTTTGGATGGCCATCTGTCTTGGATGATCTAGCAACGCAGGGGGTTGGACTTGATGACCCTTGGGGTCCCTTTCAACTCTAGGATTCCATGAAAACTGCAACTACAGATGAATCCTACTGGCAAAATTCAGAAGGCTGGTGTCAGAGTTCTATGGGTAGGAAATCCCACAGTACACAGCTGGAGTTCACACTTTCTTAGCAAGAACACGATATTCACAGACTTGGCTGAGTTTCGGGCCTCATGAGAACAGCAGCTCATTCCCAGAGGGTCTGTCAGTTTGCATGATCTAGCAGAGATTCCTGCAACGCAGGGGGTTTCCTGGCTCTGAGAGACAAGCAGGGAGGGTGGCTTCTGGCAGAAGGAGAGGGAGCCACCGATGGCTCCTCCTTCTCCTGACTCACCTCTGCCTCTCGACTTCCCTCTCCCACTCGCCTCCTTCCTCTTCTGCCTCTGATTCTGCACTGCATTCTGCCACAGAGTCTCCCAGCTCACTAAGCCCTGTTACCCCTTTAGCTTCTGACACCTCCTCTTCCCAGTCTTCTCCCTCTGATCACTTATCCTCCCTCCACCTCCACTTCTTGGGCTCTGAGCCATCTTCCCCTCCTGGTTCCCCAGCTGCTTCCTCCCACCACTCCTCTGTGCCCAACCAGTCCATGACATTGCTCCATCCCTCGGCCTCTGTCCCCACAAGACAGCTTCCCCTGACCTGATCTGGTTCCACAGCCGCTGCTTCCCTTCTGCCCCCATGAAAAGGCGGATCAGGAGGTTTTGCCTGGCATCCTTCTGTCACCTGCAAGAGAAAAAATGTAAAGCAGGACGCCAGGAGTGCCTGCTTCTCTCACAGGGGAAACAGGGCATCTCTAACTACAGATGGGCCTTTCAGAAAGCCATTACTTGCTGAGAGCATTTGGATGTTTGTGCCCATTTCATATGTTAGATGTGCAAAAACCATCTCCCCCTCTGGACCCTTGTTCCCAACTGTCTCCCCCCAAAACAAGATGAAAAGAATATCAGTGTTTGTTTAAAAAAAAAAAGGTTCTGTTGGCATAAAAGAGTCCCCGAGAAGAGTATCCTTGCAGAGTACTGGTGTAGCTTCTCTGTGAGTCGCCTACTGTGGTGCTCTAGGAGTTCAGACTCTTCCAGTAGCCGATGCTGAGTGCTTTCCTGATCCTCAGATCCTAGCTGCCCCAGCGTCACTGCAGACAGTTACAGCTTGCCACCAACTGGCTCCATACACCACCAGGACTCACCAGCTCCCTGCTCAGATGCTGTCAGTCGTTTTGCACTCTGCACAAGCTCAGAAACACTGGGCCCATAACCTGTCAGTGTTTGTAAAAAAAATAAAATGTTCTGACCTCCCTTTGTTGCCTCAGCCTGGTCCTCGGACCCTTGTTGGCATAAAAGAGTCCACAAGAAGAGTATCCTTGCAGAGTGCTTTCTGCTTTTATTCTTAAAAGCCTTTCTGCAAAAGCGATTGGCCAACTGTACACACTGTTGGTTTCTGCTTCCTCACTAAGCAGTGAATGCATGTCACAAGAAATTGTTTTGCATTCCACACTCCAAGTTACTGTTGGATTCCCACGGGAATGGGAGACTGGATGTGACGTACACTGGTTTCCTGTTTTTCACTCTTCTCTCGGTTTCTTTGTTAGAGAGGCAGGTTGCTTCTCTGCTCTCACAGAGGCAAGATGCATGTTTGTATTCTCTCAGCATAGAGTGGAAATAAAGTTGAGAATGTGGCACATACTGCTTATCCTTCTGCTGTGTGGACTACTCTGCTTGGGCTCAAGATAAGACAAGCCTGTATCAGCTTCAGATGGGCTGAGGCTGGTCAAAATCTCACACACACATCAACACTACCAGCTTTCACCAACCAACCAACCCAAACCAAAGTAACATTTCTCACTCTATATATACAACCTGGTGCAGGCCGCTGACCCAGCTTTTTAAGCATTAAAGAAACAGCTGCCAATTTTTAGCCGTGACAAAGAACCCTCAGATGAGTTGGAAAACCAACAGAATGACACCAGTGGAGAAAAACCACCTTCCTCCTTACCCAGTGGCCGCTCTCTGGTGTCCAATGGAGGCCTCTCTGTCTCACAGGAACCCAGGTCCATTTCTGCAAAGAGATCCGTTCCCTGAAAAAGAAACAAGGATTCAAAACAGAGAATGGCGAGAAATATTAGTAAAAGAATGACAAAGACAAAAACATTCAAGTGTTACATCTCATTCCATGGATGCCTTCCCAGAAAACGGATGGGCCAACAGTAGAGCATTATGGGATGTTCTCCATCCTGTTTGGAGCTCCTTTGGAGTATCCAGAGGAAAGTCTCTCTCACCTGCTTTCTCTCCTCTGCCTGACTCAGGAGGAAACCTTCGGCCAGGGCCACCGCCTGGGAACTGGTCTCCGCTCCACACTCCCTCACCCAGCTCTCCATCTCCGGGGAAGGACAGCCAGGAACTGCTCCAAGATCACCAAGGTCCAGCATCTCAGCTTTCGTGTGCCTTTCTGGCTTCAGCCACTGATGGTCAAGGTGGTAGAGTCGGCTGCAAACCTCTCGGGGTCCTTTGGCCTCCTGGCAGCAGAACTGCCTCAACTGCTGGCTCTGCATCTCTGAGCAGAGGGTGTCCTCCTCACCCAGGATCTTCTGCACAGAGTTTTCCCAGAACCCCCCACTGCTCCCAGTTTGGTTGGCATGGCCTCTTCCTGTTCCAGGGCCAGCTGAGTCTCCTCATCCATCTGTGCTCTCAGGAAGCCTCTGAGAGATCGGAAGGAAACCCTTTTGGTCTTCTGCCAAGTTCTGCCCGTCTAAATGAGAAGCTGCAGCAAATCCTACAAAGCAAATACATTGTTCTGTTACAGAATTTGTAGGTCAGTAGAAGAAAGAGATCCCTGAGCAAGCATGGATGAGTCTTGCTGGGAACTAGGGCTGGACTGCACCGCATTCCAGTCCATGAGCTATCTTTTTGGGGGGAAAGAAGAGGAGGAGGAGAAGAAATATGTCACTAGCCTTCTAGCAATGCAAAATGTGGAGGCAACTCAAGGGATTTCTGGGAAATGAATCAGTCTGGTTTCTCCTGCCTTCCAGTCAATGCATGAAGTCAGAACTGACAGACAAGGGAGTCACTTGTATATTGTGAATAATGGATGCTTGGCTCTAGTGGGGGTACTCACCTGGGGGTCCTCAGGAGTTGTTCTCCCCCCACCCCCACTCCCCTGCTTCTGTCTCCTTTTCGTGCACTTGGACTCTTTCCTGCTCTCAAGACAGACTCCTGGGGTGGGGTCCCTTTTTCTTTGCTCCAAGGGCCAGGAATGTATCTGGCCAACCCCTGAGGGCCAAGTGGATGAGGCCAAAGACAGCTCCCTTGAAATTTAGGCGGGTGATTTTGTATTAGTAATAATAATAATAATAATTTAATATTTGTACCCCGCCCATCTGGCCGGGTTTCCCCAGCCACTCTGGGCAGCTTCCAACAAAGATGAAAGATACACTAAAATGTCACATATTAAAAACTTCCCTGAACAGGGCTGCCTTCAGATGTCTTCTGAATGTCAGGTAGATGTTTTTCGCTTTGACATCTGATGGGAGGGCGTTCCACAGTGTGGGCGCCACTACCGAGAAGGCCCTCTGCCTTGTTCCCTGTAACTTGGCCTCTTGCAGTGAGGGAACCACCAGAAGGCCCTCGGAGCTGGACCTCAGTGTCCGGGCAGAACGATGGGGGAGGAGACGCTCCTTCATATATACTGGACAGAGGCCATTTAGGGCTTTAAAGGTCAGCACCAACACTTTGAATTGTGCTCGGAAACGTAATGGGAGCCAATGTAGGTCTTTCAAGACCAGTGTTATATGGTCTCGGCGGCCGCTCCCAGTCACCAGTCTAGCTGCCGCATTCTGGATTAGTTGTAGTTTCTGGGTCACCTTCAAAGGTAGCCCCACGTAGAGCGTGTTGCAGTAGTCCAAGCATGAGATAACTAGAGCATGCACCACTCTGGCGAGACAGTCCGCGGGCAGGTAGGGTCTTAGCCTGCGTACCAGGTGGAGCTGGTAGACAGCTGCCCTCGACACAGAGTTAACCTGCGCCTCCATGGACAGCTGTGAGTCCAAAATGACTCCCAGGCTGCGCACCTGATCCTTCAGGGGCACAGTTACCCCATTCAGGACCAGGGAATCCTCCACACCTGCTCACCTCCTGTCCCCCAAAAACAGTACTTCTGTCTTGTCAGGATTCAACCTCAATCTGTTAGCCGCCATCCATCCTCCAACCGCTTCCAGACACTCACAAAGGACCTTCACCGCCTTCACTGGTTCTGATTTAAAAGAGAGGTAGGTGGCTTAACACACACATAGCCATTGATGCCAAGGTCCCTGGAGGCTCAGGGAGTAGCAGCGCCCATTTCCGGCTGGTTTTCCAGCAACAATTCCTTTTGGGAGAGAGAGGATGTGGTCCTGGGATGCCCTGCTCTGTGTGCGAGGGGATTGCTGCAGTGGCCTCCGTGGGGAGCTGCCCTGGGAGACACTGGGAAACTGGTCCCCAATGCAGCAGCCAGACTCTGGGCTGGGATCCCTCTCTTTATTCCTGGCCTCCCTCTCCCACCCTTTTTTCCGGGGGGGGGGCTAGTCCACCTCCTCGTCCAGCTTTGGAAAACCATTTGCAGATGTTCCCTCTGTTGTGCAATGAGGCTGAGCGACGTCACACAGAGTTAAAGTCCCAGGGACTCCTTTGTTTGAAGAAGGGAGATTTTTCTGAAAGGGGGGGGCGGAGGGCCAACTGGGTTTGGGATCCTCTGATCTGCAGGAAGGAGAGCGTGGCAGACCTGGCCCCTCCCTGGCAGGACCCTCTCCCCCTGACTTGGGGTCCCCCCCCTGCAGGAGCAGATCAGGCCCCCCCCAGGCCCCCTCCCCTGCTGCAGCCCTGGGACCCCCACCAGATCCCAGAGAGAGAGGAGACTCACCAGATCCCAGAGAGAGAGAGAGGAGACTCACCAGATCCCAGAGAGAGAGGAGACTCACCAGATCCCACGAAGGGGCAGCGAGGCAGCCCTTGCAGCAGAGACACAAAGCAACACCCCCCCCTTCCTTGCAGGAAAGGACTGGGGAGGGAGGGGCCTTGGCTCTGGAAGACCTGGCCCCCCCTTGCTTCCTGTCCTCTCTAGGAAGGCAGCTCACTTCCCTTTAACCCTTGCCAAGCCGAGTCCCTCCAGCTCAGCCCTCTCTCGCTTGGCAGAACCTCGGATTCTTATTATTTTTAATGGATTTCGGGGGGCAGCTGCCCCCCTGGCTCCCTCAATGCCCAGATATCCTTTTGGGGGTGAGGCTCTTGGCTGGACTCTGAGCATCTCCCTCCCTTCATCAAGAGATCTCAGAGACCTTTAAAACACAGAACACGTGAGACGCAGACTGATGATCCACGTGTTACGGACCAAACGTCTGTACCCCTGCCCAAATGGGTCCTAAACATGCTCTGAAAGTTGGGATCTGTTTTGAGATTTAAATTTTGAAAGGGTGGAGTGGAACCGGATATTGACCATCTTGGTAGCCTGGGGAGCCACATTCTGGTTGAAGGAGGCCAGGATTGGGCCCCAAGTCTTGGGATGTCCCTCCTCCCCAGCAGTAGGGCTTGGAATCCAGGAGAAAACTCTTGGAATAGCCTTGCCAGGTGCTCAGGGACGGACTCACCTGTCCCCATGTCCTTCTCTTTGCAGATGTGCAGTGGTTCCACATCCCTCACCCAGGGGTGATGACTCAGACCAGAGCAGGGACTCAGAGCTGCCCTCCTTGCCCCCCACTCTGCACTCTCGGGTGTGGAGAAGCCCTCCCTTCGTGAGGAACTGACAGCCTGACTTTTGCCTTTCAGCTGCTGGAGGAAGATCAGCTGTACCTGCCGGAGGTGATTCAGAACTTCCAGGCAGCTCAGCTCAGGGGGCTCTGAGGCCATCCTGGTGAGTGATGGGTGGTGTGGGGGACCCCCATGGGGAAGTCTGGGAAGTGGGGCTTTGGGGACGGGGTTGTCTGTCTGCCAGAGAGGAGGACCCTAATGGCTTAGATTCACGTATCCTCTTTGAAAGGGGAATCATCTTAGGGACTTCTTGTGAACATCTGGGTCAGGAATGCTGTTCCTGGAATGGACAAACACACAAGACGTAACTGGGTGTGCAGTCACATAAACAATACTCTTCTGTATAGTCTTATCACATTATCAAATGTTTATCTTGCACATAAACAACACATAAAGTGCAATAATATAGACGAGAGCCAGGGACTCTGTGGTGGGGGCAGCGGAGGGCCGCTTTGGCCCAGACTGGACCCTGACCCTGAGACGCTCTTTCCTCCGGCAGGACCTCCGATGTTACGCCCTTTGGGAAAGTGGGGAGGAACAGAAACCAGCAGTCAACAGCATCCCTTCTCTGCTGGCCTTTGCCCGAAGGTTCCCCCATCTCAGAGCAAGTAGCTCTCCCTCATGGATTCCGTCCTTTCATCACTTCCATCTCCCCAAGAGGCTCCCAAGGCTACTCATCCTCTGCAGTTGAGAACAGACCTGACTGAAAAGAACGGCTTCCTCTTCTGGTGACACCAGAGAATTCTAGAAGACATTCACCCTTTCCATAGCATTATGGATGCACGATTCCCACAGACAAGTTTCTTGGCAAGACAAGGGCCTTCTCTGGCCACTTGAGTGTCCTCCTCAGCATCTCCAAAGAAGGAGCTGGGTTGCAAGAACTGCAGCAAAGGGGGGGGGGCAACCCAGGCTAATGGGGGGGCTGTCTAGCTAGGAAAGCAAGACCCAGAGACAGTTGTGGGAGACCCAGAGACCGGCTTCCTCTGTGCCGGAGCCAAAGCTGCGAGAGATGGAGAAGCCAGACCTGCTGGGGGTGTCAATGCTGTGAGCCCCTCCATCCTACACTCTGGTTGAATTTTATAATGAATGATTTTAGATTGTTCTGTTGTGTTGTACTGTTGTACTGTTTTATTGTTGTTAGCCGCCCTGAGCCCGGCTTCGGCTGGGGAGGGCGGGATATAAATAAAATGTATAGTGTTTCTGTGGAAGCGCTAGGGTGGACATCTCGAGGGGTTGTTTCACTGTAGAAAGAGCTTTGTTCCATCCAAACTGCCCAGACCTGGAGCATCTCTTCCAAGTTTACAGAGTCAGGGGGACTGTGGAGAGCGGACCCCAATCCCACCTCCAGGCTTAGGATTCTCTATCATTCAACATCTCCAGCAGACTTGGGAAGAGTGGAACAGAAGGTAGCTTGAAAGAGACAACAGCTTCACAGCTAGGGGGAATTCACAGAGAATCCTGTGATGGGCAGAGCAGGAATACCAGATAGGTGGGTTGGCAGGCAGAGAATAAAACAGTGTGATACCGGTATGCATTGATGAATATAAATGGTCAGATTTTTATTTTTTAAAAGAATGGGGAACTGAGGTAGGGCAACTGTTAGGTCCAGTGCTATTTTTCTGCTATTTTTCTAGAAAAAGAAGTTTCAGAACACCTCCCTCGTTTTCTTAGGATGGCAATGGCACCCACCCAAGAGGGGCCAGAACTGAGTTCCAGCAAGTTCTGGCCGAAAAAATGACCCAGGTTAGGCCCATTAATAAGTGAGGCCAGCGTAACATACACAGGAATGGGAACTGACCACAAGACTAGTAAAAACCAGTTAAAGGGGAAATTAATGGCCGATTGTTAAAGAGAAAAACAACTCCAGATAAGGTACAAGGAGGGTTCTGACACAGATACTAAAATCAAATGGGTTGGGTTAGTGTTCTTCATGAACTATGGCTTGATGAGAGATGGTGAAGTGCAGACGAGGCAGAAAGTGGTTGGGTAAAGGATGAACAGCTAAGATTATGCATACTTTGCCTATGCTGTATAGTCTGTGTCCTAATAGAGATGTAATGCATTACTGAATGAAGTCCTACTGATTGGGGATTTAGTATGAGGCTCCGTTCTTGAAATCACAAGGAGAATTCCCCCCCCCCAACCCCATACCTCGAAACTGAATACAGTGGTACCTCTGGTTACGAACTTAATTTGTTCCAGAGGTCCGTTCTTAAGCCTCTTATTCTGAGGCACGCTTTCGCTAATGGGGCCTCCCACTGTGCACAAGCCTCCTGTGCACAATTTCCGTTCACATCCTGGGGCAAGGTTCACAACCAGAAACAGCGACTTCTGGGTTAGCGGAGTTCGTAACCTGAAGCGTTTGTAACCTGAAGCGTTCATAACCAGAGGTACCACTGTACTGGCCTCCTGGCAGCTCTGCCTTGCCCTCAGGACCCTGCCCAATCAAAATTACAATTCGGAATACAATTTGATCTTTTTTATTTTATTTTTATTGGATTATGATTTGATATGTTAATTGGACGTTTTTTATTGGGAAATTAATATACACTCTAACAAAAAAAAGAGGGGGAATGAAACAACATCAGCCAGCGTGGTGTAGTGGTTAAGAGCGGTGGACTCGTAATCTGGTGAACCGGGTTCGCTTCCCTGCTCCTCCACATGCAGCTGCTGGGTGACCTTGGGCTACTCACACTTCTCTGAAGTCTCTCAGCCTCACTCAACTCACAGAGTGTTTGTGGTGGGGAAGGAAGGGAAAGGAGAATGTTAGCCGCTTTGAAACTCCTTAGGGTAGTGATAAAGCGGGATATCAAATCCAAACTCCTCCTCCTCCTCCTCCTCCTCTTCTTCTTCTTCTTCTTCTTCTTCTTCTTCTTCTTCTTCTTCTTCTTCTTCTTCCATTAGGCAGGCAGTCTCCCCACCCCCTTCCCAGTGCATCAATATGGAGATAGTGCTTCCCTTTGGTTTAAGCAATAGATGCTGGGAGTAAACATTTATTCATCCCACTGGTCACCCGTCTTGGTTCCTACTTGAACAGTACATGGACACTTCTACATAACTGTTGTTATTGTGTTTGTGATGTGCGTGGTTCATTCTGTCATGAATGCTTTAGCTGAGTTTCTTGCATTCAGAGGACTGGACTAGATGTCCCTTGTGGTCCCTTTCAACTCTATAATTCTATGATTCATTCCAAACCAATAAAATGTTTGTAAAAGGAAAAAGATGATGGTTAGATCCAGTGCTTTTTTCTGGGGGGCACGAAGGGGTACGCATACCCCTAAACATTTTGTGAATCTTTGTCGGAATCTCGGCTCGGCCAAGCCGATAAGGCCTCATCTTCCTCCGAGCTGAGCCTTGGAAATCGCCTCCGACGTATTTAGTGACCTGAGCCTTTTATAAGGCCTCAAGCACATTCTATCCAGCAGGGTTCCCAGCACAGGGAAGAGACAAGAGGTTTGGTTAGATTGTAAAGGGTTTTATTTCTAAACTACGCAGAACAGAAAAGACATCCTCTCTCTATGAAAGCAGAGAGCAACTGAACAAAGGAACAAAGGAAACAGGAAACCACTAACGTCACATCCCGCCTCCCTTTCCCGTGAGACTGCAAGGTCTCTGGAATCTAAACAGAGTCCTGGGACTCCACACAGCTGCAGTGAGAAACAGAAACTAACATCCTCCCCCTTTCTGTGAACACCACTGGGCAGCGTGTCAGTACATTATCAGTACAAACCCAATTTCTGTACATAGGTACAGTGTTGATCCTTCGGAACAACCTTGGACAATAAATCATCAGGAATTTCATTACCTGGCATGTAGGACACCGTTACGAGTCCTTTCTCAACACATTCTCTAGTATGTTGCAGCTTCAATTGCAAGTGCTTCGTGCTTTGCTTACTACCTTCAGAAGTCATAATCTGAATTGGACATTTGACAGGAATTCTCATGTCTTTACACAACTGTAACAACCATTCATTGGCGCCGACTCCATGGGGCCTGAGGGGGCCCGAGGCCCCTCAAAAGTTCGTTTGGGGGGGCTCCGCCCCCCCAATAATCTCGGGCGCCCCTCCAGCAGAGCGCCACCGCCGCCCCTCCCCCAGCCCAAAATGCACAGGGTCGGGCTGCATGCCTCCTGCCCTCCCTCCCAAGCAAAAGCTCCACCCAATTTCCTTCGGAGCTGATTAATAGGCGCAGCACGCTCTCCCCTATTCGCTCACGAGGAGGCGGCGCCACTTTATCGGCATATTCATGAGCTTATTTATTATTCATGAGCTTTCGCGGGCTCCCCCAATATTTTTTATAAGTCGGCGCCCCTGCAACCATTCACAATCCACAAGTGAATAAAACAATGCATTCAGTTCAGCTTCACAAGAACTTAAACTTACTGTTGTTTGCTTCATGTACGACCAATCAAATAGACCCTGGTTGTACATATAGCAAACTCCAGATGTGCTTTTCCTGTCTGTAGTGTCACTTCCAAAACTCGCATCAGCAAATATCTCAAGACCACCAGACTTCTGATTGTTAAATGTCAGCCTGTAATGCATAGTGCCTTTCAAATAGTGTGCTATGTGTTTCAGAGCTTTCCAATCCTTAACAGTAGGATTGTTGACTTGTCTGCTTAGCAAGTTACAGCTAACTGCAATATCACGTCTTGAACATCTGGCAATGAAATTTAGTTTGCCTACCACACTTCTGTACAGTGTAGTGCCAGAAAATGCTCCTTCAGTGTCATCTGCCTGATAACCTGTTGTCATTGGTGTGTCTACAGGGTTAGCACCCATCAGATTTAGCTTGGTTAACACATCAGTAATTTTAGGTGACTGGTGTACTAGGAATTAAAGCTGCATCACATGATGGACACTTCAAGATGGCGGGGGCTGCTGAGCAGACTGCCAGAAGTTACACCCCGGGGAAAGCTGAAACAGTATCCCAGACCATGCAGGGATGTGTTCCTGAAACCGAAAGCTCCACAAAAGGGAGGCTTTTGGAGGAAGAGTGCACGATGGGGGTGTTTCCTGTTCAGGGGGTAAAATCTCCAAAGGAGGAGGAGCAAGGGGAGTTGGCTGCCACGTCATCCCAACCATCACTGCAACCAGCAGGCGGCACTGCTGTGTTTGAAGCAGTGGGAAGTTTTTCCTGTGAAAAGTTTGGGCAGAGTCCAAACACCAGGATGATCTGCGCAGATGTGGTCACTAGCTGTTCCAGTACAAAGGCTAAGGCAAACCTTTGTGGAAGATGGAACTGGTTCACCATATTTACATCAAGAAGGGTCTGATCCACCAGTTGGGTGAAGACTCCTTGGAGGTGCAAAGTGTTGTGGAGTCTGGCATACTTCCCTGTGTTCCATTCAGCTTTCTGGACTTGTAGCAGAGTGTGCACAGCGCTAGCCGCTTACTGTATAAGCTTGCAGAAGATAAAGAGTCCACATGCTGTTGTTCTAAACTAGCAGCTTTATTTACAGCAGAACAGTAAAAATAAACAAACCATCCGAGACAGCAGTTATCTTGCTTCCTTGCTTGGCAGCAAAAGCGAAAGTCAGACAGAACAAAGAAACAGCTTCTCCAGAAGTTGGAGAAAGCTCCTCCGCAGAACAGGCAGGACGATGGGTTCCCGAGCTGTTAACCCTGTAAGCTCTGATTCCCCATCACACCCCCTCTCGTCCTGCACTGCTGGGGGCTCGTAAGTTTCACCACTTACCCCAAACACAGACCTTTACAGAACTCCCCATGATGCTGAAAGCTCAAAGGTTTCATGACCCCATCTGGCAGGTTCTTCTGGCTTGGACAGTACTGCAATCTCACCAAGCCTAAGTGGATACTCTGACACACATTCTGGAAACGCATGTCTAGGTGTTTGGTTCTGGCCTTAAACTGCCCAGACTCTGCCAACTTCAGACAGGGTTGATTGTCCTCCCACACCGTGACAGGCAAACAACAATCCCTGCAGATTTCTTGAACCAAACATAGAATTCCAATTCCCTGCAAAGCTCAGACAGCGCACTGAATTCAGCTTTAGTAAAGGAAAGTGCAATGAGACTTTGCTTCCGGGTGTGATAGCCTGGGATGCAGATTCAGATGCTGAACCTAAGGAATCCCAACCTGCACAGGATTCCTCGTCTCCAGAACCAGCTGAGCCAGGGTTGGGGCATGAGCCTGAAGGGTCCTCACCTGTGCTGGATCCTCAGGTGCAGGCACCAGCTGAGTCTGCTCTGGCTCCTGAGGTGATGG